TGAGGAGCATTGCAGCTATTTGCTCTTTTTTTTAACAGTACACAGAGAGCACGACAACAACAATCATGGCTTGGCAGAAATATGGAGTTTACAATTCCACTGAATTGACTTGCTGCCATCTGCAATAACTCGCAATCACAGTCAGGTCTTAATTCTTGAGCAGCAGAACCATTCCATCCCATTTACCTCTGTGTCTCGATTCATTTATAGAGGCGCAGGCAGCGTAATGCAGTGGAGCATCAGAGGAGAGTGCTTGATTTGGTTAGAGAGTTCCTTTGTTTGTCTTTTAAGAGATGGAATGCCTCAGAGTATTGTCTGTAATCACTGTTCGCTCCAAAGGGGAATGCACAGCTCACATCAGTGGGTAGAAGCAGCTGCAGAGGTTCTGCGCGAGCGTGTAGTTCATTTTAGTTTGTAAGTAATGCACTAAGTGCGTCGCACCATATCCCAAACTCCACACCTCTGGCCTTCATGATTCAGAAATTTAGCAGGTTAGACGCACTCAAAATCAAGTTGTCAGTCAAGCCCTGGCGGCTGTATGCTTGCTGACCTTGCTGAGCCAATCTCGATATCTGTCCCCTAACCACAACTGTCACATCTCACGCACCAGGCAATATGTCTGAGCCCCATATGAAATAACAAGCAGAAGAAGATGGAGCAAAAGCAGCTATTCTCTGTCTAACCCGCAGACATTTACCATCAACACCGATAAATGCACTTCACTGTGACAGCTTCACACGTGTTTTCACAACACTAGGCGTTGCCTTCATTTAAATTAAAGTAGGTAGCTGTTGTCTGCATGGCAGATGAATTTATGTGCAAGATTATGTCAGGAATATTTATGCTATTTGCCTCCAAAGTAAACAACGACACTGCTGACATTAAATCATTTCCAAGGTCATGAAGGGCCGTGAATAACAGTAAGCCATCGTCACTGATTTATGGAGAAATCAGAGAGGACAGTGAAGCAGCACTTCTTTTTACAGAATTAAAATGACATGAAATCTCTACCGGAGTGGCTGTACCGTGCTACCGGCAGCACGGTGACACGGTGGTTAGCACTGTTGCCGCACAGCAAGAAGGTCCTGAGTTCAATTCCAACATCAGGCCGGGTCTTTCTGTGTGGAGTTTGCATGTTCTCCCCGTGTTTGCGTGGGTTCCCTCCGGGTACTCCGGCTTCCTCCCACCGTCCAAAGACATGCAGCTTGTGGGGATAGGTTAATTGGATAATCCCAATTGCCACTAGGTGTGAATGTGCGAGTGAATGTGAGTGCGAATGGTTGTCTGTCCCTGTGTGTTGGCCCTGCGACAGACTGGCGACCTGTCCAGGGTGTACCCCGCCTCTCGCCCTATGACAGCTGGGATAGGCTGCGACCCCGAAAAGGATAAGCGGAAGTGGATGGATGGATGAAATCTCTACCCTGGCTTTTTGTATTCTTACAGATGCTCACGCATTATTATGGATTGTGATTAGAGTATGACGTCAGTCTTATCCTGTTTTTTTGCCATCCAGGATCTGACTACCTCACTACACCCTCCACAAAATCAGCATGTACAAGGGAGAAAACTAGACACGCTTTTGCACTGGGATCCCATCAGCTGTGATGACTGTTAACAAGTTGATCTTCTAAGTCATCAGTACAGAGTAGTCATTTCTACATGAGCACTCAACACTATAGTTCACAGTTCTGACGTTAGTGTTTTGACAAAAGTGGTCACAGACTGACAGACGTTTAAACATGAACCACTGCGCTCAGTTCCTCAGCGACAGAGTGAGCAATCAGGAACAGTTTCCAATTACGACGCCCACTCACAACTCTAAAATACTTTCATGGTGCTGTCGGGGCAAATGAAAAAAAAGAAGAAGATAAATGCATCATCTATCAACATGTCTTCAACATAACAACAAGTTTCAAAGTCAAGAGGGAATTGGGAATTCCCAAGTGTAAAGACAGGAGACTTGTCCAAGAAGAAATGCTCAGAAAAAAAACCCAAATTATTTCAGCTTGCGTATGAAAGGATTTTGGCTGGACGGATATTTTCCACTTGTATTGTATTTTTTTTATTATTAATATTAATAAAATAAATAATCTAAGAAGATGCACTATATGGACAAAAGCACATTACACCTACAGAAGCTGCTCTACCATGGAAACACATACCTCGAAGCTCCTAGCACACTTTTGTGCTGATGATAAGGCCAGAGGAGAACTGGCAACTTTTATGCACTATGAACTTGAGCACTTAGTGACCCCGCTCTCTAACATTACCAGGTCTGCAAATTGGTGGCAGTTACAGGGTGATTGGGGAATATCTGATTTTATAAAGCTGTAGCAATGGAACAGAAAACAGCTGAATTCAAAGAGGCGTGGCCTAATACTTTTCTCCATATGGTGTATGCTGTAGGTTTTAAGTATCCAATATGGTTCAACATACAATATGAGGTGTCGTTCTAGGACAATGTGTTACTGTGATTCGTTATTATCAGGATGTCCAAAAAACTCACTGAAAAGCCTTCAGCTAATCCAAAATGCTGCAGCAAGAGTACTGACAGGGACTAGAAAGAGAGAGCAGATTTCTCCTGTTTTGGCTTCCCTTCATTGGCTTCCTGTTAAATCCAGAATTGAATTCAAAATCCTGCTCCTCACATACAAGGTCTTAAATAATCAGGCCCCATCTTATCTTAATGACCTTGTAGTACCATATCACCCTATTAGAGCACTTCACTCTCGCTCTGCAGGCCTACTTGTTGTTCCTAGAGTATTTAAAAGTAGAATGAGAGGCAGAGCCTTCGGTTTTCAGGCCCCTCTTCTGTGGAACCAGCTTAGAGTTTGGATTCGGGAGACAGAAACTATCTCTACTTTTAAGATTAGGCTTAAAACTTTCCTTTTTGCTAAAGCATATAGTTAGGGCTGGACCAGGTGACCCTGAATCCTCCCTTAGTTATGCTGCAATAGATGTAGGCTGCCGGGAGATTCCCATGATGCATTGAGTTTTTCCTTTTCAGTCACCTTTCTCACTCACTATGTATTAATAGACCTCTCTGCATTGAATCATATCTGTTATTAATCTCTGTCTCTCTTCCACAGCATGTCTTTTATCCTGTCTTCCTTCTCTCACCCCATCCGGTCGCAGCAGATGGCCGCCCCTCCCTGAGCCTGGTTCTGCCGGAGGTTTCTTCCTGTTAAGAGGGAGTTTTTCATTCCCACTGTCGCCAAAGTGCTTGCTCATAGGGGGTCATATGATTGTTGGGTTTTTTTCTGAATGTATTATTGTAGGCTCCTTACAATATAAAGCGTCTTGAGGCGACTGTTGTTGTGATTTGGCGCTGTATAAATAAAATAAAATTGATTTGAATTGAACTCTATGATGGAGTACCATATTTATTGTAGCACTTCTTCGGAGCTACATGTCTTTTCACAGCAGCTGTGTTGTGTTGCAAAAATAAATAGGAATAAATGTTACTGCGCAGTAGACTTAAATAACAGAATTTTGTCAGTTTAAAAGATGAAGACATGTCAGAGAAAGCAGACATTGGTTAACGAGGACGTGACTCAGAGGCAGCCTGAAGACACAGAAGAAAAGGAAATGGCATATTCTTGCAGCGAGAGAAGCCGAGTCAAAGATCTGAGACTCAGCTGAGCTTTGGCTGTGATAACTTACTGCTTTAGCACCTACTCCGCCCCCACCTCGAAAACTTTTCCACTTGGCTCATTTGACTCCCACTCTTCAGAATGAGATGAGAGCTACACACCCTTGAGGTTTCAATCACCCAAAAAAATAAAATAAAATACCCAAAACATTTCCATCAGTGCCCCCACAGTTTTGCTTCTCGTGATCAGAGCAGTGTTCTGAAAAACCTGCACTGGAAAAGCCAGTGGAATAAATAAGTCAAAGTAAGAGAAAAACCCAACCAATTTGAAAACATCTGATTGGGGCTGGAGGAGAAAAGCAGGATGAAAGAGTGGAAAAAAAGAGAGAAGAGGAGACAGAGGGAGAGAGAGTGTCAGGGGCAAGCCCTATTGATCTGAAAGCTTAATTAACCATCAGATGCTTCTGACACAGTCTCTGATCTTCTATGATCAGTGGCAGTGTGGCACCACTCTTGGGGTGGGGATGGTGGGGAGGTTATAGAAAAGAAACAGGAGAATGACTGAGAGAAGGGCAGAAAGGAAGAAAGAGTAGATCAGTGATAGATTACAAATTCACTTTGCAGAGTGTACAGAAGGATGACGGGGTGGGAGGTGACAAAGGAGAAAGACTAAAGACAAAGAGATCATGAGGAGACAGTTGATTGGGGAAGGAGGAGACGAAAGGGCAAGAAGCATAATATGGATAAAGAAGATAATGTGAGGGGAAAGCGAGTTAAGGAAGGTGAGAGTGAAAAAGAGGTGTAAAAAGGAATGAAGGATGAAAAATGCTGTAGATACATTTGCCTAAACGTCATCATTTCCCAGAATAACGCCCTCCCCACACTGATGCAGTCACCTTCAGCTTCTGCACGCACGCATATGAGAAAGGTCTGCTGATACTGAGATGACAGCAGTGATTACTCGAGGATTGAATTGCCAATTCTAATACATCTGAAGAGCCGAGATCTCAGCCTGATGATGTCATCTGGGCAGAATGGAAATTGACCCAAGTGAAACCAGTCAGGAGCGAAGTGAAGGTGGGGAGGATTGAGTCTGACATTAATCCCTGGGAGGTTTAAAGAGTGAAACAGCACACCTTGGAATGTGACGTGGGGGGGTGAGGGTGTGAAGGCGATGCATTTCAGAGGTGCTTTGGCTAATGTTAAAATTGATCTGGGCATGTCAGAAAATACATTCAGTGTACATGAGGTTAACAACTCAACCCGAGTTCCCATCAGGGTAAATCAGGAGAGCTTGGCCAAAAAATAAATCCAATTTGTGGAGTAATTTCTATCTAGCAGAAGGTGAAAGAGACATAAAGGTGAAGAAAGGGAAAATGAAATAAAAGTCTTGACATGTTACACTCACCAATGCGTCCGATCGTATTAGCTCGTGGAGTGGAGACGCTGTCTGGGCCCTCTGTGGTTTCATAGAGAGAGTTGGAGATCCGTCGTTCATTGCTCTCCAGAATAGAGTTAAGAGGATGCTCCAAAAATGAAGGGCTGCCAGGGACTTCCTACATGGACCGAGGAGAAAAGACTTGCTTACAACTTGTCAGACAGACAAACAATCACACTGCCTAATCTAAACTAGTAACGTGCAGATTTAGGTTTCAAATACATTCCAAATCTGTGACTTTTTTGGATCATGTATTGTATTTACAGTATTCGTAAACTGAAAAAAGAAACTGAGTCAAATTTGTATTTTTTTTTGTTGCTTTTTCTCATCAAATACAGGACAACATGCTAACAAGCGTGAACAATCAAATGCTGCAATGCTAAGATGTGATAAAGAAGGAGCTACCAATCACCATCTTAGTTTTAACCAGTTTTGGGTGTAACACATTCAAAGTAACACTTGACTGTAATGTAACATGTTACTGTACTAAACTGAGTAATTATCATCATAGTAGTTACAATTATGTCATTACTTGAGTTACAAAGGTTCTTCGGTTATCTGTACACCACTAATAGAAAGAAAAAAAAACTCCTCCTGCGCACTTATGCTACAATCAGCTAACACAACTTCAGCACTTTGCGATCATCTGCACAGACAGCATGCTAACGCTAAGCTAGCCCAGAATTCTAGCATATGGTTTATGTTACATGACAACATGTTTCAAGTCGTTTTACAGAGTAACGCCAAAGTAATGTAACAAGTGATTTAACAAAGTCCTTTTCCCATCAAGTAAATAAATACTCTACTGAATAACTTTTAAGAAAAGCAACAGATAATGTGTAAAATATTACTTTTGAGCAATGACCCCAACATTGGTTTTAGCATATCAGTGTTTGCTAACTAGCTAACTAGGATTAGCACGAAACACAAAGTGCTATGTAGCTATGTAATACTTCTGCAGGTATTTTGTCATTAGCAAACTCTGATAAGCACTAAATTTTTTTTACTTGATATTGATGCTAAGATCTCCGCTCACATTTATCATAGAAAGATATTTCATTACATAAAAACAGTCAGAAGGAACAACTTGTACTTTTAAACAATACATTTCAATAAAGCTATAGGTCATTTTTTTTAACTATAGTGTAAAGTGTAAGTGTTATTCCTTCTATTTCAGTTTGTGAATATAGGATTACAAGGTGATACACACATGGTGTTCACATAAAAATGGGTCAGTAGAATGGATCCCAGTGCTGTGCCACCAACACACCAAAAACATAGAACCGGTGCTTCAGTATCAATCTCAGCTTACATCTCGGTATTTTCTGCTTCAGCAGTGTGAAACGGGTCGTGCAGTAGTCAGAGCTGGATAAAGCTCAATGGATTTCCCATAGGCCAATAGATAGCTCTCTCTAACAATGAGCCCTAGTAAATGGACCAGTGACATTTGCCACATGGTCAATGTGCTGCACTGGTGGTTATTGAGCCCACTCACAGTCAGTGTATGTCAGTCTTGACAGCTGAACATGGTTAGTGGCTCGTCTGGGACCAGTGTACACAGATAGTCTTGAGTATTCAAGAGCCAACAGCCTGTCAAACATGGTATTTTGGATAGAAACAACCAAACCAAGAGTTTGGGAGTAGATAGGGGAAAATAAAAAGCAGATAGAAGAAAATAAAACCTGGGTATTGTCCTAATTTCTCACAGTTCTTTATAGCAGCTTGTGGGCAGCCAGGGGAATCCACTGGAAAAGAACTCCCTGTACAGGACCTATTACAGATAGCTCCCTTGCAGCTAGACAGTCCAGTGTGGCTCAACTCTATACTCTAAAGCACGCTTTAAACCAAGAAGCCCCGGCTAATATTGATGTCTCACAACACTCTGCTGGCTCCCGGCCAAGAAAAAGGGGAGTAAAAATGTAACAACAAGAGCAGCAGGGAGACAGAGGAGCAGGATGGAGACGAGGGGGAGAGAAAAGAAGAGGATGTGCTGCTGAGGCTTTTGTGAACAAATGACAGGTTTTACAAAAAAAAAGAAAAAGGGAGAATTATTGGGTGTGGGAGCTGCGGTCCTGGTGAATTGTGGGTGCAGTAAAAATCACATCCTTGCGGGAGCTGTGCGTCCTGGGAGATGCATACCGGGGTAGAAGGACTTATCGGCTGTTTAATATAAATGAGAGGTTTAATGAGGTTGAAAGCACAAGACTTTATCGGGACAGCGTGTTGATAAGAGAAGATGTCGGAGTGAAGCGTGCACGAGTGCGCGCGAAACGGGGGCGGGGGGGCTGGGTCAACGCAATTACAATCAGAGCCGCGGCCACTGCCAGCCTTTTAATAAAAAGCACGTCCCTAGATGATTCAGACTCAATAAGGTTCAAATTGTTGAAATGAAGATTTATTTAACTCGCTTTTCTCTCCTTTATTCAGCCACTCTGCACTTTTTAATCTGTCTCAGATCCGCCAGAGACTTGTCATGAGCTTGACAGAATTAAGATGGAAGGTTTTGGGTAAGAGGTAGGTGGAAATATGTGGAAAGATTGGAACAGAGAGAGCAGCTTAGGACCAAAGTGATATGAAAACTATGTACAGAAGGCACTGAGTGGAATAGATCTCAGAAGGAATACCAAGTCCCCTCTATCTCTAAGAGCCGGACAGGTTTATGTGAAATGTATTTACTGGTTTCTATGGCAAACAGACATTGGAATAAACATAACACAAAGTCAAAATTGCAGCAATTTAATCTTTGTGTATTCAGTATTAATTAAATCCGCTTCTGTGCATGCTAATGCTTTAGCCCCGGCTGCCTCTGCTAACACACTTGTGAATATTTAGTGGTGCAGCTTTCTACGAAAAGCTGTGACACGTTCCTGCACAATTTGCCACCAACTAATATTCAGTTGTCAAGATATCCTGTTGTGATGGGCAATTCTGGAAACATTCTGATAATGAAATGGAGAAAGAAAACTGCTTTGTGATATCACAGCAAGCCCATTTATTCTAACATCAATTGGGCAAATTGGCGAAGACGCCGATTTCTTTATTTTAATTTTTGGGGGGGTTTTGTTTTTTCTAAAGGTGTGCTTGCTCCTTTAAGTCTTTCAGTGATGTTTAGCCCTTTCTTACCACTGGGTCTCATCATATTATCACGTTTTTAATGTGTTTTAATCTAGTCATTTTCAGAGTGGATTATCGTGTTGACAGAGGGAGAGGGCAGAGCTCTGCGACTTACACTGAGATCGGGAGCTGCTCCCCTCCCGCTGGACTCGCTAAACATGCACGTGCGTTTGTGTGTTCAAGGCAATGCTTTAATGTGCAGTGCACTTGCATATCTGCGTGTGTGTGTGTGTCTGTGTGTCCTAAATACATCTGTGGGAAGTGCAGACTTGTGCACAAATGTTGTTTTTTTTGCCTGCACATCAGCATCTCCCTGACCTTGAGTACTCAGTAAGGGAGAAGAAGCAGTGTGTTGACAGGCATGGTCTTAAGCTGTCAACCAAGGCTAATAATGTCTAGTCCATGGCCATTTCCTGGCCTTCTATCCTGGTCTCAGCCTGTTGCCGGGGCCCTAATCCAGTCAACCTCCACCATAATGCTGTAATTACAATTCTTAAGCTGCTGCATCCTGCCCCAGGCACAACTCACCTCTCTGCTGGCTAGATATACCCCACTTTCATTAGCTTCTCACATCCACCTAGAGCCTTAACCTAATGCCTGTGCCTCCCAAAGTGGACTCGCAAGTCTTTTAGGACTTCTTAGCAAAACTTCAATTTCACCAAAGTATGACACAGATTGAAAACCAGCACAGCAGTGAGAAATGTGAGAATAACACCTGCTCGGGTTTAACTGTTAAGCCACTGCTCTGTCTCCAACTGCAACAAAATAAAGGTCTTGTCTTGTTGCCTAGCGAACCATCTATCACCATAAACTCCACCTACAGGCTGCACTCAAATACTGTGAGACTTTAAAGCTCTTTCCTCTCACACTGGATGCAGCAAGAATACAGGAGAATACACACATTATGCTTTCTGTGTATTCAGATGTAATGCAAGCATCGAGATCGCAAGCGCCAATCGTACTTGTTTTACATGTCGTGGTTTTCCGTTACGTATATTTCAAGCATGTATGGAAGTTGTGCAGTGCCTGCGAGTGCTGTCCACTCGAATGCTGTATGAAAGCAGTTACAGCAAAAGTTTCATAGTAAAACAAAGTAGTTTTGTACTTGAAAAACAAATAGGCCCTTTTCACATTAGCACACATTGTTTTGTCATGCAGTCATTGGAGGGTAAACACAGGTGTAATTATTAACATTAATTAGATCGGCAGAGGCCAAGGCCCTGGTGCTGTGATGGCTGACTGGAATGGTTAGGAAACAATAAATAAAACAGCGGTAATTAACTGGATTGTTTACATTAATGTTTACCGTGTTAGGACGTGTCAGAATGGTCCTTCAGTGAACCAGCAAATTAGCAATAAAATAAATAAAATTGTGTCATAATAAGCTGCCAGTGTGTCTGATGATGAAAATATAAATTGCAGGTTCAGCATATTATATATGTTTATCAGATGCAAAGACTGCCTACTACTTGTCAGCAAGTAAATGCAGCAGTGTAGAAGTGTACAGCTACACTGTTGGTACATGGAGGTTTTTAGCATTGTGTTTATACTACTTAAAGTACAGGCAACAAGTGTTCAGAGACTTAAATTTAACAATTAGCCTGAACACAATCTTTCTGATTGAAAGGTGTCAGAATACACAATGCATTGCAACTTGTTCCGTATGGGTGCCCATGCTGGGCCCTGTCTACCGCTGAAAGTGCCAACAATGGTCACAAGATCTGGATCATGGAGCAATCCGGTCGTTAAG